GACGGGCGCCGTAGCCCGGCTCCGTTTGAAATTCGAATGTTTCTTTTTTCTTTCGCCGAAGGCCGAGGGCCAGCAACGTGATGATGAGCCTTGGCCACTGTTTTCATTGAACCCGTTGCCGCCCAGGTCCCCGTGGTGGCGCTGAGCACCTGCCCGATCCTGCCCTGGGCCAACGCGCGCTTCGGCAACCCGGACAACCCGTCGCACGTCCCCAGCATGCACTCGGGCTGGACGGACGTCATGTCGCTGCCGGAGCGACTCGTCAACGCCGCCATCGTGTACTACTCGGTCGTGAGCCAGCGCCTCATCTACGAGCCGCTCGACCAGCGCTGGGTGGACCAGGCCTTCGGCCCGGGCGTGCCCGCCGTCCGCGACATGGCTCTCAACACCAGCCTGCTCTTCACCAACACCTTCCACGGCCTCACCCTGCCCCGACCGCTCGCCACCAACGTCGTCGAGATCGGCGGCATCCACATCAGCGAGCCCAAACCTCTTCCCAAGGTCAGCTCTAGGCCCCTTGCCTTCTCTCTCTCCCGCAGCAGCTCCCGCCAACGGTCGCTGGGCGGGACTAGGGACGGGCGGGGACGACGCCCGTCTCAAGTGGTTTCGGACACGGACGCGACGCATGCGCCCCGTGCCCGACTCGATAGGTAATCTACGAGTGCCATCAGGACGAAAAGCGATCGTCATCGCCCTACTCCGCCTCCGCAGCCACGCGGCGGCCACTGCGCAAATGCGGAGTGTGCTGCTTGGGGCCCCACCCGACTACTTAATCGACTCGACTGCTTCTTACTCAAGCAGATTTTGAGTTTACGTTACTACTACTACAACAGCAAAGTTAGTCGTGCAAACTCACCCCCACTCTCCGTATGTACACACTACTTTTTATCTAGAGTCTGTACACAATATAGGTGAGCCACGCGCATTGGTTGGTGGTGCCCGTTGGGTTGCCTACCCTGCCGGCGCTCTGGCCTGACCTGGCCGCCGCCGCTATTGGGCGTCGCGTGGACGCACGTGTGTGTGCGGGTGTGAAGTCATCGCCTCGCTAACAGCTGATCAAAGCCCCCCACTCCACCCAACCCCTCGCTTTTAACCTTGCTCTGCACATCGTCTGACTCCTTCCTTCCCCTCCTGCCAACCGAACCGCCGAACCGCGCGCCGAATACCGCTGGCGTCGCTACCCAAGTACCATGGGTGCCAACCCCCGCACACACAAACGAACGTGTTGTCACGGTCGACAGGTACGGGGTACATAATTTTAAAGGTTACAAGAGCACCTGGAAGGTTGTCTATTCCGCTCACAGAGGGCGCCCGCCCGTGGCCCCTTATCACGAAGGACGCCCCCTCGCGGGTCCGCCGCTAACCATATGTCCCCTCCCCACCCTTCCACGTTCTGACCTTTGTCACCCTTGGCGTTACACCACTGGTGTAACGCTCACTCATTCTATTCTGCCTGGCCCGGCTGCGGCCACCCGCGCGGTGCGCGCGCCTATATACCGACTTTGCGCCAGCTCCCGGGTGGCAGTGTTGTGCTCCCCGGTCGCCATAGTGTAGCGCATAGCAGCGCACCTCGCGGCCGGCAGGGCAGTTTGTTCGGCTCGGCTTGCCGAACGCCTGCTCTCGACTTGAAGCGCTTCGCACTGCTTATTCGCCCCTCCCGGCCCGGTCGTGGCCTTGCTTGTCGCCCGTGCTCGCTATTCGAGGCATACTGTGCTAGTCTCAGCACCGCGCTGCTGTATCCGGACCGCGCCATGAAGGCCCTGCTCGCGCTCCTGCTGGTGGTCGCGGCCAGCAGCGTGGACCATGTGGACGCGGCGCGCATCCTGGCCGTGTTCCCGCACACGGGCAAGACGCACTTCCTGGTGTTCGAGCCGCTGCTCAAGGAGCTGGCGGCGCGCGGCCACGAGATGGTCGTGGTGAGCCACTTCCCGCAGAAGGTGCGGCCCTCGGCGACCTGGACGGACATCAGCCTGGAGGGCACGCTGCCCAACCTGGCCGGCGTCATCAACCTGGAGGACGGCGGCGGCCTCCACCCGCTGACGGTGGCCGCGTGGGACTTCTGGTTCGTCACGCAGTTCGGCCACTACTCGTGCGACACCATCTACGCGCACCCGCCGCTCAAGAAGCTCGTCGACGGCGACCGGCGCGGCTTCGACCTCATCATCAACGAGAACTTCAACACCAACTGCTTCCTGGGCCTGGTGCACCGCTTCCGGCCGGCGCCCTACGTGGCCTTCAGCTCGTGCGCGCCCTTCAGCTGGGACTACCACCGCGTCGGCAACCCCTACCACGGCGCCACCATGCCCAACACGTTCCTCTGGCTCTCCGACGAGATGTCGTTCACGGAGCGCGCCGTCAACACGGTCTTCTCCATGGCCATCCGCGCGTACCAGGCGCTCGTCTGGGACCGGGACGCTCAGCGCGTCGTCGAGAAGCACCTGGGCCCGGGCGTGCCGCCGCTGATCGAGCTGGCCAACAACATGTCCGTCATGCTGTCCAACACGCACGCCGCGCTCAACCGGGCCAAGCCGCTCGTCCCCGCCGTGGTGGAGGTCGGCGGCATCCACATCGACCAACCCAAGCCCTTGCCCCAGGTCAGTATCCGCACGAACGCAGCGCCCGTCTGCGACTTCCCTCTCCCGGTGTCGTGGGTGCATCGCCCCCCCCCTTCCTCCCGTCGTCCCCCCTCCGGCTTCAGGGGCGCGATGGTGGGGGTGGGGGAGTTTATTTAGGATGTGTACCCAACTCACCACCTCTCCCCCCCCCCTCTCCTACTGCACCCTCACCCTGCTGACCGAAATTCAGGTCCTCATGACACATGACTCCTGGCATCAGCGCCCAGCTTAAGATCCTGATGACAGATAAGCACAGCATAGCCGAACTAATTAATTAATCTAATCAAGCCTTCAGTCCGGTGATATTGATGCATCTCATAGGGACCGTCTAAAACCGCTCGTAAGAAATATTCTCGAGTCGAAAGCGCCCAATCATCGTGCCCCGGGTTGTTTTCACCTATGTCCACTCATGCTGTCTCTCTCGCTTACTCTCTGCACGGCGGTTCCTCTCTCTTTCTGACGGGGCGATAATGCTTATCAGGCTAAAATGGTGATGCTGGCCGCTGGTGGTCCCGATATACCCTTCGGCGGGCGGCCCAGCTGCCGCCAGTGACTGTGTTTGCGCGTTCGTAATGATAAGGATATGATTACTGATTGATTACCTCGGACCGTGCCCGTAGTGGATTACCCCCGATT